GCTATTGTGATTGAAGTGATGGTGAGTGATATTACTGCTGAATGACTTGTTTCCCTTTAGCACTCAGTCTGTGTGAGAAAACCACATTCCTTTCTGTCATTAAGTGCTCTTTCAAGTCGACCTTGAGTAGCAGTACCTGAAATAATTGCAAAAGCCTTAAGCGATGTTTTATGTTTTGTTAGAGTTCTAAAAGAGTATTTGGTGTACATATATGTATATAAAATAAAAACAGCCAACTATCTTTCTTAAAAGTCACTCCAACTTACTTTTAGCTTAAATATGGAAAAGGTCATTTGGGAGTAATATACTGGGAGTGGCCTTAAAATATAAAGTATGCTAGAGAAAACCCCATCAATCTACCTGTGGTTAAGATGTTACCTGCTTTGTTACCATCGATTAAATGTCCTCTGTGTTTATAAATGTGGAAGGCATTCAGAAGTAGATGGATAGGTTGTCCAATAAACATGAGACTAGCTACACACACTTGTACACACACACACACACACAGCCTAGTTCCTGTTTTTGTACCTTTCTGATATGTGTATGTTTCTGTTATATGACATGTTTTACTATTATATAATTGTATAATATTATTAAAACTTTATTTGAAGGGGACTCATGATAATTTTGTCTTCATATATTGGAACAAATTAATACACTACAGGACATAGTTCATTCCTCATTAAGATTATGCTTTGATTTCTATTTATTATGCCTCTTCATGAGCTGTAAGAAAACTTTGCTCAAAAAAAGAAAAAAAAACAAGAACAAAATAACCACAAACTCAATTAGATGTCTCCTTCAGTTATTATGTATATGTCTTTTTTTCTCACTCAAAAATGAGCTTTGAGTATAGGCACCTGTCATGTCTCATCTTTTATAGCCCATGAAATTCTCAGACCACTGAAGCACATACAGTGGATTTTCTCTAGCTCTTAGGTGAATGAATTCATGCCTTTCAGGATCGTATAGCTTAGCTTTGGGTTTTTTTTATGATTAAATCAAATTCTGACCCTTTTTTTTAATTGAGCATTTGTTTAATGGAAGTGCCCAGGAACAAAGGGACATTGCTGTAAGCTTAAGAAGTAGATGAGAAAATTCTGTAAGGCTTTTCCTAGTATGTAAATGTTCAATACCATGTTTGTTTTTTTCTCCCTGAGGAATTTCTGATTTCCATATGGGATGTAGGAAGCTAGAGTCATTCCCCTATGCACAATTGAAACATCAGAGGGAAAACAGACATAGAGACAGAAGAAATATTTGACAAAATAATGGCTTAGAACTTTCAAAATTTAATGACATATACTAAACCACAGATGAAAGAAGCTGAGAATGCCAAGCAATAAAAATACTCAAACAAAAAGTGAATAATGTCCCCCTGCCCCAAACACCCACCTAGGTTTAAAATCTAGGCAAGTTGTTTTAGCTACTGTGGATTTCTTAAATTTACATATGAAATTTTTGATCAGCTTGTCAATTTATTGAAAGAAGCCAGGTGGAATTTAGATGGAATTAATGTTGAACCTGCTGATAATAAAACACAAAGAAAAAATCTTGAGACATCCTAAGGGGGGAAAAAAAAAAGACATTACCTAAAAGAGGAAAAGTAAGAATTACAGTAGACTTCTTGTCAGAAACCATGCAAACCAGAAGACAATGAGTGACAATTTTAAAGTGTCTAAATAAAATAAAATAAAACATTTTAAACACAGAATCTTTAAAGTTAGAAAAAATACGTTTAAAAATGAAGGCTCAATCAACATGTTCTCAAACACAAAAATATGAAATACTCTGTAAGTTATAAGAAATTCTTCAGTTAAGAAGAAATGTGGTATCAGACAAAATCCTAGATTGATGCAAAGAAATAAAGAGTACTTGAAATGGAACAAATTAAGGTACATTTTTATTACTGACTTTTAAGAGATCTTTGTATATATTCTAGATATAAGTCCTTATCAAATGTATGATTTGGAATATTTTCTCCCATTTTATCAGTGATATTTTCATTTTATTAATGAGTAAACTGTGCAGCATAAAACTTTTTAATTTTGGTTCTCAGAGTTGAACAGCACTTCAGCTTGAACATTCCTTTCACACTCCCTAGGAGACATAGAATGCTCCAAGGCACCCTCATCTGACTTGGGATGTATTTTTCTTGATACTATTTATTAAAGGTAAAATGCTATGAGTCATTTTTTCTTCTTATCATCTCCCTTTGATTCATTCAAGTAACAGTTTTCTTCAGTATCCAGACTTAAAGTCCTATGAATCTATTTATATCATAAACTCATGAGAAAATATTTAACTTGAAAGTGAAAAAGAAATGTCAAATTGAACAGCAGTGTGCTCTTATTTAGGCTTATTAAGCAGCCACAAAGAGAATTAAAATTGTAATATCCAATGTTGATGAAGCTATGAAAAACTAATACAGAATAGATGCCTATCAAAGCAAATAAAACTCAGAATGCTCTTAGAAAGCAATTTAGAAACATGCAGTTAGGGCCATAATGTTTCCAGTGACTAAAACATAAATCCAGGGCATTTATCATAATTAAAAATTTGACAGAAAAATATGAGCATGTTTACAAAGGTATTTACTTTAGTTTGACAATAAAAATTTGGATAGAATATTCAACCTGAGTATTCAACAATGTGGGACCAATTAAACAAATGATCACACTTGGCTTTGATAGAGGATAATCAACCTGTTCACAAGACAATAGTGAATATCATGTGAAAACACATGTGTTATGAACAAAAATCAGAACATTAAACTATGTAATATACTTTCAATTGCTTGGAAATATGTAAGTTTAAAAAAAAGACTACGGAAACAGGACAAAATGAAAATAGTCATAAAGGTGATGAGATTATTGGTGCAATTTTTTAATTTCATCTTAGGTTAAAGGTTATTTTAGAAATATGTAAAATCAAAGAGAAAAGGGGATCAAATTTTAGTCCCTTGATGTTCATATATTAAGGAGAATGTTAGGCAGATACTTAAGCAACATTTCTCTTCCTTGCTTGAAATCTCAGCATGAATTTTGTCTGGTTCCAAGGGGCTTAACCCTTTTTTTTTTTAAAGTAACTCTGGCTACCATGGTTATTCTTTGAAAGTCTAAACAAAGTTTTCATTGTTCCCTGGCAGCATCTCTTATTTGCATTAAACCATGAGTTATGATATTAGTGCATCCTGTTGTGGATTCTTTGAAGAAAGCAGACTCAATAGCTCTTTTTCTAGTTCCACAGTAAATGATAGTCCTCTTTCAGGGTGTATTCTGTTTCCAAGTTCTTATCCTTTTGTTACATACAAATGGCATATCAAAATTTTCCCATAATGGCCATCATTATTCTAAGTCAACAATTTTGTCATTTTACCAAGGAAAGTGCAAGAGTTGCCATCACAGTGTGATTTTAGACAGGAAGTCGAATTTCTTCCAGAAGGTTAAGACCTCAGCAATTATAATAATCCAGCACAATAGTAAGATATTTTTCACTCTTCTAGAAAGAGACCACAAGCTTCACATGGCTTAGATTAATCTGGTAGGAATGCATGAATTATCTTTAGGTAAATTATATTTAATTTAGGTTTCTGTACATTCTGGAAAGTCATTTGTAAATGGGACATATAAACCAAATACAATGAAGACAGAAATATTCATTATCCTCTCTCTCTCAGTTTCTAGATACATTCATTCATCAGTGTTAAAAGTCCCACCTTTTAAGCCAGATCATGAATTCAAATCCTGATTATATTTATGTAAATCTGGACAAATTACTTTTTTATTCCTTAGTTTCTTCACGTATAAAATAGACAACAATAGTACTACATAGAAGCTTCTGAGAACTAATTGAATTAATGAATGTAAAGATCTTGGCACATTAAAAAAATGTTACTTCATTATTAATGTACATATTTTTGAGGCTGAGAACACAAATATAAAAATCTCCCAATTCCTACCCTTTAGATGACTTAGAAAGTGTTCTTTAAAATCACTTAACTCTGTAACTTAAACCTAAAACTGCTCTAAAAATCAATCTGTTAAAAAAAAATCAACTAAAAAACAACTTTATCACCCTCAGTGGAAGGAAGTTGTCCACTAGTTGGAGCACACAGGAAAGGGCTTTGCAGGTGTTTTAAAATGAGATTCTCATGGATCTAAGTTGGAACCAACTAGCAGCAGAAATGCACAAGGTCGGTGGGTTTCTTTTGATTCTGGGTACTTTATGGGACTCTCTTTTCTCTTCTTTGGAAAATCATTGCTGGTTGCAAATCCAGAAAGACTAGTAGACATCATCACCTTTCTTAGATGGATAATTTTTCTAGATTAATAGCCATCATCTCCCTCCCACCCCACCCCCCGCCAAAAGTCTCCCTTTCAATATGAGAATGAGAGCCCTTAAGTCCAAATATGTTATTCTAATTATTTTTACAATGATATTGGAAAAAAGAAATCAAAGCCATTTTTACTTTTAACTTTTTTATCAAATGTGTCTAAATACATTAAGTGGGTATTCAAAGATGTGTCTTCTTCAAGATTTAGATTTACAAATGTTCATTTGATTAAATCTAATATGAAAATATTATGATTTAATCTTTATTTTTCTGAGCTAATCTCTTAAAAGTTCTCCATCTTAAGTGTCTTATATTTTCAAGGATCTTTTATTCATTCAACCAGTACTTATATGATGTATATGCTATACCTAGTACCATTGCTAGATATTAACTCCATGGGTCAGTCCCTTCATCTTTCTTACTGATAAAAATAATACAATTATTATATTATATAATAATTATAAAATAAAAAATAAATAAATTAATCCTGTTATATACCTTGCTCTCTATCACATAGAATTTTGGATTGTATAAGCTAACTTGTGATTACAGTAACAGTCATTTTTCTCTTTTTCTACAGCATTATTGAATGGTTACCTCCTCTAGCTACCTGATGTGCTGATTTTGTATGTTTTACTTAGTGATATCTGTTTTTCATTTTGAGGGTGAGCCTGGGTTGCCTGGAGCAGTAGGACAGAATGGAATCCCGGGGCCAAAGGTTAGTACAAATAAAGCCAAAAAGAATCATTCAACTCATGGATTTCCATCAGATTGTAGCTATCACAATTTTTTTTATATCCTTCTGATGGCACTCGGGTGGAATTTTTTTGTCAATAGTATAATATGCTACAGTATAGAACTTTGTGACTAATGAATAAATTATATTTGTGATTTTTATTACTGTTAAGTTAAAAAGGCAGAAAAACAAATAGGATATGATTGTCTAAAATCTTAATTCTGGGATAATTAACATAAGAAAACCCCTATTTCAATATGACTATTGTCATTTTACCATTTCATGAGCATATAAAAACATAAGTCCCCTACATACTGCCTAACATATACATATTTACAAACCTTCCTAAAGATGATGTTTGCTATGCCACTGTGGCTTTTCCTCAAGATCGGCCACCTTCAGCTTCTCCTCAACACAACCAGTTAATCAGATGAAGAGCAGAATAAAGATGTGGCATGTAAAAATTTAAAAATGAATGTAGCTCTGAATTACTAAATAGGGAAAAAATGTAACGAAGATTTTTTTTGGATCACATGTTTTCTTTGTTTCTTAAAGAACAAATGAATCTGTTAAATATAAAAAGATTGGTGACAATTTAGTTTAAACCAAACAGGCAGACAAATCCCAAATCCTTTGATGAGTGAACATCCCTTGAAGTACAAAACTAATGCCTAATCCCATCAGCTGTGCTGGTGCGTATCCCTACCCACAGATGCCTGTCAGCTGATTTTACAGATCACATTGCTATTGACAGGCGCCTCAGACAGATCTAAAATTTATAGACCTGTCCTTTGTCCTGCAGGGGAGGGAAGAAAATGTGCCTTCTGGGACTATAGTCGTTTTCCTGTCTTCTTCCCTCTCTTGCTCCATGTTAAAAAGCCAAATGATGGGAGTTAATGCTTAATGCATATTCACAGTGCTATTCTTGTGTTGCCTAGCGACCCGACATCAGGACGGATGTTTCAAAGTGAAGGTGGCCAGAGATTCAGAGAGCCAAAGGCTCAGGTTGAGTTCCGGAGAATGAAAAGGGTCTTGCCTTCAAACTGACTTCTAGAGTAGGTTATATTTTCATTTAAAAAACAAAAAACAAAAAACCTCACAATAATTGCCTTATACCATTTTTTAAAAAGCAGTCTCATCTCATGGCAACCCTCAATCTTTTCAGCTGGAAATATTATCATAATGTGTATGATGGACTTTAGAACTTTCCCACTCCATCTCCTGTCCTTGGGTAAAGTGAAAATGAAATTCTTTTCAGAGCATTGTAGTTTTCGTGTCTTTGGGGTCATCATTTCAATTAAGGATATCTCTTCAAAACTCACTGAAATTCTGCCCCTTTATAATGTCTTCCTTGAAAGAATTCGTACCTCCTAAAATATCCCTCAACTAGAAAATGCTAGTTATCAACAGTTAGAGGGAGTATGTGACACTGTGAAGGGGTCTGAGTTCAGGATCTCAGGTTTATGATCCTGTTAGGAAAAGACAGATTGGTGAACCACACTGAAACTCCAGTCCCTGGAATAATCCTCACACCCGGAGATGCTTTGTGTGAAGGGTTTTGTGGAAGGACATGCTAGAGTTTGGACAGAATAAAAAGCAGCAGATTAAGAAGTCTCTCCAGATACTGAACTGTCACCCTCTTCTGCTCCTCAGTGGCCCAGCCTGTGCCTGGATCATCTTGAAACACTGCACATGTCTTTATTTCTGTAAAAGCCAAGAATTAAGAGTACATATGGTATTGATATCCATACCCAGTTCTGCAGGAAACTCATCATACCTTTTTTTTTTCCTATAGAAACTATATATAACAAAAAAGAAAGTACCATACATAATTCACCTAATGTGTTCAATATCTGGTTTGTTCAATGTTATTTAATTAGGTGTTTTGTCATTTAATGTTACTCAATCTTTGTTCTTTTGCTCAGGGAGAACCTGGAGAACAAGGAGAAAAGGTATGATTCTACCTGTATTTAACTTTTTTCCTCCCAAGAAGTACCCAGCTGAACTGGATGAATGGATGGAGAGATGATGGATGGATGGACATACAGACAGATATGATAGACGGGGGTGGGGGACAGTTAATAACTAAATTCATTTGTCTATTTTTAAACTGTTAATTGGGGAAAGAAGAAAATAGAGTAATTCTTGTGTACAGCAAAATTTGAGTAAAATATTTAAAGAAATGGAGAAAAGGGGAGCAAATTGAAACTCCTATGACAGACTTTAAATGGCTTTCATAACTCCCTAGGCGTACAAAATCACTCTTATGCTCACTTGCTAATGCCAGGCCAGTACTCTTCTAAGCATCTACATCTCTCTCTACGGCTTCTTGGGTATGAGGTTAAAGGGATACAGATGGTTTACCTGCAACAATTATCTGAAAGTTGCCCCACAAAGAATTCTCATAAAACCAGAAAGAGAAACAAAAGGAGAAGCAGGTTGCTGCATGTTCAATTTCTGTTAGACTCCTTTCCTTACTACCTTTGGGCCCACCCTGATGACTTCGACTCTCAGTGAATATGGTGGTGCTTATTTTCCTGGTTCTCATGCTATTTAATAGTGCTTGAGAATGTGCTGAGTGGGAAACAACCATCACTTTACATTATACTCTTCCTAAGTGTTAGGATATTTCTGATAAGTTAATATTGTAACCCCTAAGCTCAAAAGAAATTCATCTAAAGATAAAATACACACACACACACACACACTCTTTAATGCAACTGTATGTTTAAGCATTGTAAAGAAAAAAGGGAAAAACATATTTAAATGGAAGAACAACAAAATAGAGGTGTGTAAAAGCAATTTCATGAAAGGACAGCTCAGTCACACCCTTATCTTAATAACCACTCAAACCTAATTAGGTTTGTTTTTTAATAAAAGGATTTTCTACAATTTTTTAAAAAACATACAAATAAACTGCCTGTCAAAGTCCCCTCATAATAGATTACATTTATTTGGCATCAAATAGTTCATGGTAATTAACTTAAAATTAATTAGTCATCAGGTGATTGTTTTGTGTTGAAATTCAGGAGGGAGAGGGAATAATGGCAGCATCCTTCTGGAGTCTCATCAGATGGTGTCACCATCTCGAACAGTCCACTGTAGAGTATCACCGTAAATTTCATGCTTATTTAAAACAATAAAAGAAAATATGGAGGGAAAAAATGGAATCTCCCTCTTCTACTTCCTCTGCCCCAAGAAACTATCCTCTTATTTTGAGGAACTCCTTAAATGATGGAAAGGTGAATCTCTTACAAAGCTGGAGAGCAGTGCATTCCACCCTGTGGAACACATGAACAATTGTGCATTGTTATCATAGCAGCTCTCACTAATGGCCTGGAATATACCAGATATGCCCTAGTTGCTCTACACACAGGATGTCACTTATTTATTAAAGTTGCACAAAGTGTTCTTATCCTCACATTACACAAGAGACTCTGGATGCTAAGAGAATTTCATCCGCCCAGTAATGCCAGAGCTGGACACTCTCGTCCTAGCTCCAAATCCATGACATTTCCCCTTGAACATGCTATGCTGTAAAGCTTAGATTCAAGAATTCAGAATTTAAGGAGGCAAAGCGTACAGCATAAATGAATTCTTTTTCCCCCAGTGGCATTGCATTGTGGGTAGAAAGGAGATACCAGGAAATAAGCATAAGAAGACTTAAAAATATCAAAGCATAAACTCCTCAAACTCATTTTATTAGGATTTATAAAAATAGTTTTCTAATAAAATATGTAAACTTTCATTTCACAAGTGCAACTCTTTTGTGTTTGCACAAAAGATCTAGAGTATGATGTAGTGCCAAATAAATAAATGCTCAGTCCACAAGCTTTGAAAGCCCCGGTCATGCATTTTGAGGCCCTGGAGAGCTAAGATTGGTTTGAAGAGAGGGTAGAATTTATACTAACAAAAGGGAAAAGAGAGGCTGAGAGTCCAGGGGCAGGTGTGGCACAGAGAAGAATACTGAGGTGGCAAGACATGGATAGCATGACTTACTAAGAGAACTGTCAGGAAAAAAAAAAAAAAACCTTCATTAAAGAGGATCTTTAAGCAGAGGAGAAAAGAAGCAGACCAAGAGGCTTAAATGTCCAAATATGCTATTAAAAGGCAGACAGATAAATTACTGCTTCCTTGTTAATCTTATGAGTTTAAAACTGTTCAGCCATTTCATTGTAATAAAATTAATTGTATTGAAATCAGGCAGCTGGTCAGGTAAAAGTACATTACCTCTGTAGAACATTTGCAACAGATTTCTTTCTATGGTGTGTTTGAATGAAAACTACTCTTTGTTTTGTGGCACCAATATGTCTTACATGTCTCACTTTTTCCCCCTCCTCAGGGAGATACCGGAGAAAGTGGCCCCAAAGGTGACACAGGCGAAAAGGTACAGTTTTATGAGATATGAAAGGGCATTCGTAGGAGCAAAACTGTTATTTCGTGTGTATGAAAATGGGAGGTTTTGAGAGCAATGCGTCAGAGTATCCTAACATAAGATCAGAGATAGTTCTCTAAGATTAGAAGACATTTAAATATTTGATTAAAAGACATTTAAATGTGTGATTTATAAAAAAAAAGTGATTAATTTGAATCTTTCCCACAAATTTAAATAATTTGAAAGCAAAACAATGTATCCAGAATGCTAGAAAATGCATAGCTAAGTTCCAGTAATGTGGCTTTCAAGGAAGAAAAAGACTTGTCCTGAATGCTCCCTTTATACACAGGGCTATAACATAGAGTTCCTAAAGTGACTTAGTTTGTCCCAATTTAAGGAGAGAACATGTCAGATGATTGGTATGAAATTTTGAAGTTTGATTATAAATGAATATCCCCTGATTACATCCTTTAAAGCAATCTTGAAAATTTGCCTTGATGTGGAACCCACTAAATCTGTGTATTTTGTCTCTCTGTTGTCTCTCTCCTCCCCTTGCCTTTTAAACCATGATCTGCAGGTATAGTGCAGTGGTCCATGGTCTGTCTTCTTGCCTCCCTCTTTTTTCCTTCTGCTCCATCATTGTAGCATTTGCTTGGATTCATCCTTTGACATCTGACATCAGAACGTTTCTGACCTTGATATTTCATTTCACCTTGACCATGTTAAGATCAAGAAAATCTTTCAAGAAACCAAATCTAAAATAGAATCAGGTGAATTTTTAGCATAAATCAGGCTAAATAAATTGGTGATTAAAAGCATTATTTACTTAGGCTTATAGTTGAGAATGAAACATTCAACTTTAGAAGTTATTATAGTACAGATGGGTAATGGTCAGTCATAAAAACATATTCATAAAACAAAAAAAAGAATTATCTTTCTTCTCATAAATATTAATGTAAATATGGCATGGAGTGGGATTGAATCTATGTCACCACAATTGTGTTTGTATTTGAGGAACAGTCTAGAGGTTAGAGAGGACTTTTAGTTTCCTACAAGAAACTACAGGTTAGGGTCTCTTGGCCTCTGCACTATTGACATTCTGAGCCAGGTAATTCTCTATTGTAGGAGTTGGCTGATGTTCAGTCACTCTTGACTTCTACCTGCTAGATGCCAGTGGCACCCCTGAGTTGCAACAAAGACACATGTCCACACATTTCCAGATGTTCCCTGCAGTACAAATTCACCCTACATCAGTTCCACTGATGGAGACCCATTCTATTGATCTGCCAAATTTTAAGTACCATGATGCCATCAGATGACATGAAACTTTTTGATGCATTTGAGACCAAGGTTAGAAGCCGACTACTCTCAAAATCAAAATTTGAAACCCTAAATGTATAAACTTAGGTGATGTTATGTTTAATTTTCTTGGTTCTTCTTAAAAGCAGAGGTCAGCCAACTTCTTCAGTAAAGGGCCAGAAAATAAATATTTTAAGTCTTTTCGGGCCATATGGTCTCTGTCATAAGCTCTTCAGCTCTGCTGTAGCGTGAACACAGCCACGGAAAACATGTCAACAATGAGTGTGGCTGTGTTCCAATAAAACTTTATTCCTGGACACAGAACTTTTATTCTTATATAATTTTCACGTGTCATGAAATATTGGGTGTTTTTTTTTTTTTACCCATTTAAAAATGTAAAAACTATTCTTGGCTCAAGGGCCTTATAGGTGGCCAACTGGATTTGGCCACTGTTGCCAACCTCTGCCTGAAAGAAAGGAAATATTCTACACAGAGCAATTTCTTCAAGTGAAAAAGTGTATACCAAGTCTGAACTCTGCCTATTTGGATTTATATAGATGATTTTATGCTTTAGAAGATGTATTTTTAAAGCTGCATCTTTGGAACATAGGTCAATATTTGTTTCTTTAATCACACGTTTTGAAATTTAATTTTACAATAGGGTGGCAACTTTTTTCTTTGAAAAGACCAAGTTATCTCAAAGGAATACTGTTCTTACTTTATATATTAATGCAAATCATTTACCATACTGACTCACACATCATAAACTTTCAATAAATATTAGCTTTTCTTACCACATGGAACTAGAAATCAACAAGATTGGTCGTTTTTCTTTTTTTTTTAATATAAAAAAAGTTTTACTAGTCAGCTGAAATTAAGTACAAGAAATGCCTCAGTTAGAACGGAAATCATTTCTATAAACTTTCAATGGGTCTAAACAGGGGATTGTAAATAGGAATCTGTAACACGTATAATATGTAATCTGACCTGTAGCATTCATCCCAAGAATGCTGTAATTGGAATATAATTTTTGATGTGTTTTTTAAACATTTCCTGCTTCTGTCATATAATTTGTTTCCAGCATGTTGGAAACACTCTCCTTGTGGCCTTTGTGTTCACTATGTAAAACTCATTCATCATTTACCAAGTTTGAGATGTAAAATTTTTTAAAATGCTCCTTTTCTGCCATTGATGTAGTAAATTACATCATTGACTGATTCACTTTAATAGGATATTTTTTTTTCCTTTTTGATCCAACTCAGTGCCTTTGGATGGTAAAGCAATCTAAGCCTTTCCAGACTGGTCATCTGGAAATGTTGTGGAATTATAATATAAAAGCCACTGGGCTGGGTTTTCTCTGTGGCCAGCAACTACGGTATACTCCAGGTTTAGGAGCAACTTGCCAAAGACTGGTTTTAATCATGTGTGGAGTTACTATGGGAAGGTTTAAGGTGGTTGTGTTCAACTCTTTTGAGTGTTAATCCCACACCAAATGTACAAATGGATTTCTTATCTATTTTGACCCACTTGAAAGTAGATGTCTATGCATCCCAGTGAACAGTTTGACCATGTCACACAATTCTTCACCCTTTTATCTGCTGGGAAAGATCACCACATGCATTTTCTTGGCACTGACTATCTGTTTCTTCATTCTTCAGTTCTTACTACGAACACATTATTTTACATTCACTTCCCATCTTTGATTTGCATCCTCTGAGCCTTTGCAGAAGTAACGTCATTTTGGAGCTACCAACCAAATTATTGTCTCTTCCTGAAATCACACCCGAAGTCCTATCTCTGTGGATATTCCCACAACAATCAGTTCTGGTTTTGTTTTGTTTTGTTTTTTTCTAATTTAGCTCATGTTATTCTTTGCCACTGTTGCCAGCATTTGCTCTCTGACCTCCTCCCCACAAATCCTCACCTCCATTTTTTCATTTTCTAATCTTAGTCATTCTTCAATACAGTGAAAACTGAATTTAGAAATCATTTCACTGGGGCAACCTTTCATCCGCCTCTGGATTGGTTAGGTCATCTACTCTTTGTTCCAGCAGAGCTCCTTAGAATTCATTTCACAAACCTTTTTGTGGTTTACTAAAATTTCCAATTTTTAATACAGCTCATGGAAAAAGAAAAAAACAAAACAAAAACAGCTAGACTGTTTTATTCCCATCACCAGTCCAAGGTCCTAGCATATAGTTAGAAGGTAATAAATATTGAATTTATTCCTTTAGTAAATGAAAAATTTTAGTATTTTTTTACTCTTGAACTGTTTCATATTCTCATTGAATGGATAAAATTGTTCCTGTATTGTGCATTTGCTTATCACATTTTCTGTATGTACACAGTGAAACGGAATCTTCCTAACATGGTAGTTTTTTTCTGTCCTGAATTTTTTTCTTTTTAATTTTTTTAGTTGTGTTTGGACTCAATGCCTTTATTTGTTTTTATGTGGTGCTAGGATAAAACCCAGTGCTTCCTACTTGCAAGACAAGTGCTCAACCACTGAGCTACAACTCCAGCCCCTCCTGTCCTGGATTTTAAAATAGAAAGAATAAGAAAATATTTTTCAATAAATAATTTTTTAATCATATATATGGTATAACAAGGTCAGGGATTGTAACTGCATTGTTCTGTGTTGTCTCCTCAGCTCCCTAAATCCCTGATTCCAGAACATGCCTGATACATATTTGGTGCTCTATTAAGTTTCTATGGAATAAGTGAATGAATGATATCAATAAATCATCACATTCATTTTGTATATCTACATATACTTTATTAGCACATCTAATTGTAACTATTACAATTAGTTACTCAGCATATTTGAAAATAATCACAAACAAAGCATATTTATATCTGATATCTTCCCAGTATTTCCCCATCTGTGACTTATCCTATGGAAATTTCTCTCTGTGAATCAGTCAACTTATGAAGCTAGGAGTATACTTAAGACATAGTTGGGGGCAGTGGCACACACCTGTAATCCCAGGGGCTTGGGAGGCTGAGACAGGAGGAGCGCAAGTTCAAAGCCAGCCTCAGCAAAAGGGAGGCACTAAGCAACTCAGTGAGACCCTGTCTCTACATAAAATACAAAATAGGACTGAGGATATGGTTCAGTGGTCAAGTACCCCTGAGTTCAATCCCCAGTACCCCACCCCCACAAAAAAAAGACATAGTTGGAGGGTTTTTTTCTACTTTAATCCCGTATTCATTTTCACTTTGGGAGAGGAGGATTATAAACACATATTATTTCCATGACTTGCAGCATTATCCTTTAAAATGTTGAACTTATGAATGTCTTCCAGAAGTTGCCTTCCCACTTAAAAGTTATAAAAATTCCGGGAGATTTCACAGTTCTAAATCTTTAAAAAGAGAAAAAAATATATATCACTTTTAGTTGTCCATCAAATGAAACTTCTCAGATTTCTCAAGGAAACCAGCCCTTCAGAAAGTTGCCCTTTTCTCTTCAGCCACTTTCTTTGAGAACTAAATCTAGCCTCTATTGTCATATAGTGGATTATCTCACCACCTTTCATTAAAACACTGGTAAGAAACTACAATTAAAACAAGCAACTTCCTATTATTTACAAATTTACTCTATGCCCTGTTGTCAAAATGAAATGAGCCAACAATTCCTTTCTTATTCTAACAAAAAGAACGTGGCAGTAGATTTAGAAAGCCCTAAATTCACTTTGCGTCTACTTGCTTCAACATTCTCACCTACGAAATGGAAATAATAATATTTGCCCATGCCAATAATATTTGCCTATAGTTTTTTAAGGCAAAAACAAGATGAAAGGAGGAACTTTGTGAAGCCAAAATTGCTTTTATGCATTCAAAGGTATTATTACACAAAATGTTGCAAACCTGCTTCGTTAGTGTTGATGGCTTTCAGACTGTGTTCTGTAGAAATAGAAATAAGTTTTGTTTTATTAGCCACATTTATTTCGCTTCCCCTTTGGAACTCAATTGGATGTTAATGCTTGGGAAGAAAAGGAGTGTCATTGTACAGAAAGACAGGATTCAGAGTCTTCGCCTTCTTTGTTTAGCCACATTTTAATATTTTCCTTAGGTAATAGCAATTACAGATGTCCAAGAAACTCATATATATTCTTTCCTCAACAAGCTAATTTACTATTTCCTTCTCCTTCCTAAGTTTTCTTTTTTCCTTCCTAAAAGTTTTTTTTTTTTTCATTTTGATCCTTGACTGCTGATCTGTTTAAAAAAAAAAAAAATCTTTTTAAGATTTGTTCATCATTTCCCCAACTATGTATTGAGCACATCCTATGGCCAGATATCTGTGAATAAAAGCACAGAATCTGCTCATATGCAGCTGACTGTCTAAAGGAAGGATAGACATTGAATACACAAAAACCATAAGCAGGCAGCTACAAAGCAAGCTGTGCTGACGTGAACAGAGAGTAACCTTACACAGTCAGATCTGCCTAGGCTGGTCAGTGAAGGGTTCTTTGAGGCAAAGCCATTTAAGCCCAGATCTGAAGAAAAAGATGGTGCCACATAGAAAGAAGGGCGAGGAAATGAGGGAGGAGGACAATTACCCCATGCACAGAGGCCCGAGGCCTATCTCCATCTCTAAAAGAGATTGATGAGCAGCTTCTGGAATCTAGAACAAGCAAACAGACCCCTAGAGCTGCATGAGCATTTGTACAGACAAGTCAGCTGAGGACATCCTGAGATGTGCTTCCTCCTGTGGCTCTCTCTTTTCTTGACAATCTCAGACAACTAAGTTTTCTCCTTATCTTTGTCCTCCTAGCATGTTCATGGAATAGAGGGCTAAAAGGAGTTTGAACATGTAGGCCCTTGGCTGACCTCGTCCCCAGTTATCCTCCATACTCTTCTCTCCATGAGCCCCTCTGCTTATTTATAATGCAGCAGGTTTAGAAACAAATGTAGGGCCCCTGTATAAAGTCTGGATGGAACACGGTGCCTTTTAAAACACCAGATTCTGTCTCGAGACTTTGTCTCAGAGCTTACTTGTGTCCCCATCACCCACAAGTCATCCATCATCCTGTAACTTCCCAGTGACCGAGTTACAGTGAAATAAGTGTAAAGCTGGGAAAAGCATGCTGGTTGCAACTGCGACAGAGCTTCATGAGGAAAACAAACGGATCTGCTGATCTGCTGCGCGGCTTTTCCAGCTCGACATCATTAACCCTTTGACTTCATCCTCTGAACCTTGACTTTCCAATAACTAAAGGGCCAGAGAGCTCCCTGTAAATGATGGCTACTGACATTAATAAACTCCAGAAATAGAGAAAACAGAACATTCCAGATCCCTAAATTGTAATTTTATTGCTCCAGAATGTTTTTTTTTTTTTTAGCACTGTATCAAGGGAAGAGATTCACATTTCTATCATTGTACTTGCTTCAAGGAATATAATCCTGATATAGTTTGCATTCAAGGTAAAGCTGTGTTTGTAGGAAGTGCATTGTTTATCTTAGACATCATTACCATCTTAATTGCTGATGTACTGGGATAAAGTCTCATGGAGCATGTTAGGTCTGTCGGTCATGGAATCCCTTTGAGTGTCCATGTCAATAACAGCCTCTAGGTGTGTGCAGTGTTTCCTCTTTCCATAACTTGTGGCATAACCTCTCATGGGTTTCATTTTAGGGTGACCCTGGATCGTCTGCTGCAGGAATTAAGGTAACTATAGGCATGCAAGTGTTTGTACCACAGGGATCACAGTTTTGATTTTCTAAGCCTCTACTTTCTCTCCCCTTTTACCAACATTGACGGTTATCGTTCTGTTCCTATTTACCTCAATAATCAGCTTCCAAACACAACAGGGATATTTGTGGGAAATACAATGAAGTTTAAATAAGTGGGCTTGACTTCTTTTCCCTTTCTGAATGGTTTTATGAAATGTGGATTTACATTAAATCAGTCTACTTGTGGTCAAGACTTATGATCAAGAAGGAGCTTGGGCCATCTCTGTGAAAGTGCCCAGAGGTCTAAAGTTTTTAGAATATTCTTGTAAGACTGCTCTTTTCACCTTTGGTTTCCTTTGTCCAGGGAGAACCTGGAGAATCTGGTCGTCCAGGGCAAAAGGTAATATCTCTATCTCCAGTGTGTTCTTTGTATAATTATGATTCATTACATAACATGAAAATGATTATTGCAAAATGATGTAGCATTCATGCTTTGCATACAGAGTGTTATTGGTTGGTGTGCATTTTATTTTATTTTTCTATTTTGTTTTTGTGTTGCTGAGAATTGACCCCAGAGTGAGCCTTTTGCATGCTAAGCAAGTGCTCTGCCACTAAGCTACATGCTAAGCCTCATTTTGCATTTTAAACAGTCTTGATGCTAATCATTGCAAAATGTGAAAACAAATCTGTCCTTGTAAAAGGATGTTTTATGAACTAAAATCTACATATACTCAGCTGTCTGAAACTAACAAAGATCTGTTGGGTTGGACTCCCGCAACTTATCTTGCATGTTTAAAGGTAATCTGCATGTGTCTTTCTTTCATGAGAAGAAATGAGTGTTTACTAAACTGACTTAATAGAGAGTGCTGGACAGATCTTTAAAATTTATACTCCTTTTCTGTTCATTGCCAGTACTTTCCTTCTGACATTTTTTATGCAACTCTACCTGTGTCTTTCTTATTGTGTTAGCAAACTAAATTTGTTAAAAACTAAAATTTAATTAGAGACACTAGCCACACCAATGTAACTAACTATAGCTTGGATTATCATTTGTTGTTTCACTTGAGCAACACATTAAAGAACACACAGTGACTATGTTTAGATTCATATTCTCCTCTGAGTCTGAGGCAGGAAACAAGTGTTAGCAGTTTATCGTCTGAGCATCTGGATATCAGTGCCCAGTGCACTTGGATTTCAGATAACAAATGGATGTAGCTAACAAGGAAATGTGAATTCCACATTAAGCAAAATCTCTTAAGATCATTTCTCTGCCTTTGTCCATCAGTAGCTGATGTGGTAGCAAAAAAAAAAAAAAAAAAGGAACAAAAATATATAATTTATTTCATTAGTAGAAACGGAAAGAAAGAATAAATTCCATTATAGTAGTTTGGAACTTTAAGGCATGCAAACCATGGTTTTGCTATGTCTCAAACATTCTTAAAGTCATCGAGAGAGCTTTATTTTTAAAAAGAACTTAGGATGGAAGTAATTTATGAAAAGGTCTCTCATATTCTTTTAACATTTCTCTAATTTAAAGACATATTTTTCTTTTGAAACTAAGAATCTCAGAGTAATGATTCATCAGGCCCAGTTCCAGGTAAATTTGAGGCTTTTCCAAAGAGCCCAAAGGAACTCTGCAAATTTTACTGTTTAATTCCTATTCTTCTGATCTTCATTTTAAAAATTTGGAGTTAGTGATACAGTCAGAGATCCATGGTCTGCTTTGTTTTGAAAAGGCAATTAATCTTCTCAGATGATCTAATTTTAGGTCCCTTAGTCTTTACAAATTAAAGTCTATGTTTCAGTTGTTCTACAAATCTGTGATTTGCTCAAAGAAATGTCTGCAAGATTCTTGTGTCTCTAAAATAAAAGCCAAAAGAAACTCTGCTATAATATTGTATAGGGTTCACTTTTTTTCAGAGTGGAAGAACCAAATTGATCTTCAGTTTCTTAATAAAACATTGCCTTATCATGATTAATTAGAAATCAAATTTAGACTAATTCTGGAAGCTTTTAGGTTTACACATAGAAACATTGGATTTCCTTTGTATTTCATTAAAAAATCAGTTTTGGGTTACATTGGAAGAGGGTAGATTCATTTAAAATCTTACAACCCTTCTTAGTTAATATGTGTCCTGAAATGACCAAATTCTACCCTTTGATACAATCTCACTTTCCCAATATGACTTCTGTGTCTGATATTGTCAGTTGGCAATGCTTATCCCAAGGTTGATTTAAAGGTAAAGATTTCCATGCTTGGTGCTCAGGTTAAAATGAGTACAGGGTCAGTTCTAGAGATCTTCCATGGCATTTTTCTCACATTGCAGAACTGTGAGTTCAATGGCACTAATGCCCCTAAATTTAGGGCATTCCCAGAAAAGTACAAATTGTCATGACACAGCATAAGCCCAGCAGGAAGCCCACTGTGTGACATCTAGTTCCATATTCATAATGGAGGAATGATTTCATTGGATTTTTTTCTTTGATAGCTTCAACAGTGGAGTGTGTGATTGGCATGTGAGTTGGAGTGTGCATAGGCTTGTAGAGTGAATGTGTAGATTTGTAAAATAGGCATTGCATTTCATCACAGAGCTCTTTTCTACCTAATGTCTCTACAGCTTTTTAAAGCATATGTTTTTATTGTAAAATCAAGTCACTTGATTTCCCATCAGAAGGGATCTCACCCCAGAACTCTCCCTGGAAGTCTAGGGCCCTGTCGCAGGGATGAGCAGGGAAACAGAGTCCGAATTGTGATGATCTCTTAATGGAGAGTGAAGAGTAAAAGGGAAAGCAAGAATAGAATCAAAAGGACAAGATTTATGTGTAAAGACTAATCTCTTGAACAAGTATTTTGAGAATGAAATAACAAATTAATTCTTAATTCTGACCCACCGGCTACATGCCCAAGAACTCAGAGAAAGAAGCCTCTGAGCCAAGGCATAGACAAGATGGAGAAGTTGCTGAACACTATCCCTTAGTTGGAAGATGAGCTTTCATAGTTTAAAGATGGAGAATTATACAGGAAGAAATGTATTCCTAAAAATGTCAAGAGATATTCCACAAAGGATAATGTTAAATATATTCTTTCATATGTGAGCTAGTTACACAAAGTAAATATAAATTTGGAAAGGTCAGTTTATAAAAATTCAAGACTGTGAAGTATGAGATTCAAAAATATATTTTACTAAAAAGGATATTTTCTAGCTACCACACATACGTATATACATTTAATATGATGTAGAGAAAGGCTGAATGCTCAAGTCTCAATGTATCTCTAATTTACATGAAGAGATATTTCATGATGTTTTATACATCTTTCTTATTATTAGAAAATAGGAGTATGTGTTTGTTTATTATGTATGTTCATTTACTATACTTTTAATGGAGAGATGATAATTCTTATTGAAAAATTGTGTTATTACCTATATATTACCACCACTGTTTCAGGTGCAATGTATCCAAAATGAATTTTGGGAGATTTTTCTAAAACAATGCATAGTTTTACTGGTTATACATTCTACTGCAATTAAATGTTATCAAAAATCTTATGCTTTGTTTTTTTAAAGTAAAAGAGTTTTCAGCAGAATGTGTATACAAGCTTTTCCTAGCAGAGCCTTTTAAATTTAATGGTGGAAGGGAAAGAGAAAAGAAAATCAAATGTACAATGTAACTGTGTCAAGTTTAATCTACTCAGACAAGTAGTCTTTGGAATAACAAGTTCTTAATAATCATTTTCTCTTTCCTGGCTTAATCTCATTTTAGTCTTATTCATAATGCAAACTTTTATTCATGTAGTTTTGGACTGAATAGTTTTTCTTTTGCATTCCTGAAAAACCTTAAACCTAAACCATAAAGAAAATCATTGTCTTTTTTTTTTTTTTTTGGTCTAAATCCCACAGTTTAATAAACAGTATCTGAAATCATTTCATAATAAGACTAGAGAAAATTATGGCTCTTCATAACTTGAAAGTATTAATCTTCAAAATGGAAAATCTGGTTGTGCTTGTTAGAGTTACCTTGGAATGAGTATTCTTAAAGGAATGAGATACTTTTAAAGAAGTACCTCCTTCTCCCACTTTATTGATGTTCCTATGTAATTTTGAATGATTTTTGTCCCACTAACTGGCTGTTATGGAATGGATTCTTTTATCTTCAGATGTTATTTCCACAAATCATAGTTATCATTCCCAACTCAGGGCAAACTTTTTTATTTGTTCCTGTCGTTCCTTTATGCTTCTTTATTGGAATTCAGGAGATTTTCTAAGCAATGTAACCTCTTGCCACTATACTTTGTGCTTAAAATAATGTAGACAATTCTGTGAAAATGAGAAGGTTTAGCCTGACTCCAGTATGCTCACGCAATATGTACCACTTAATCTCAGACCTGTATTCAGGAACAGCTGCATTGTACCATTAGCCCTAAGCTTCTAAGCACGGTTGCCCCAACTCAACAATTGTCAGAACTACAGACCAGAGTTAAGTACAATCTCAACCATTTATTTATCCTCTCATCGTTCAGGAATGGAAAGGAAATCTTACTATACTTTTAAGTGACCAATACTTTTAATGTATATTGCTGTGATGTGACCATCTGTTCATACAGCCAACTCTTGATTATCTGAGGTGAGAGTCCTGGAATAGGAGGCATTATTTAAGTGCATGCATAATCCCCATTTCAGCAAACAGCTCCAGCAAACCATTTACCAAAGAGTGAAACATATAGATGTTCCTCTTCCTTTTACTCCTCATTCTTACCTTCTGATAGAGATGCTAAATAGCAGTAAACTACATGAAGAGGGGAAAATCCTGAAAAATCTTCAAAGGGATCACCCAATCCTTGAATCAAGAGTTGACTGAACTACACCATCTCGTTAGACTTCTTGAACCTAGACAGGTTTTTTTTTTTTTTTTGTATGTATTTATATATGCCAAAAGTATGCCGCTCGGAACATTTGCCATGTTTTTCTCCATATACTATGACTGAGCAAATATCATTCTATAATGCTGTATGATTTTCCTGTGTAGGGTGAACCAGGGCTTCCTGGGCTTCCTGGACTTCCCGGGATAAAGGTAAATACTGCACTGATAGTCTTGATTTCATAGAACTGTAATTATCAGAGTCACCCAAATAGGAGAGAAACAGGGGAAAATGAACACTAAAAAGTATAATGCTGTTCTTTACTCCACAACCATCTCAACCAATTAAGTTTTTTTTAAATTAAGAATTGAGCGCAGGGATTTAAAGTTTGCCATTGCTTTCTGAACTATATATTCCACTATTTAACCTATCATTCCCCTTACATAAGTGTAAATGCCACTTTACTTGAAAACATAAATTTTGTAAAGTCTAGAATGCCTCTTTACCTTCACATTTTAAGTTTATTCTTAAGATCCTATCAGATTTTTACCAGAATTGAAGTCTTAACATCCCTATAAATCAAACATTTAGGCAGCTGTTTTTATGATTCACCCACTATAATAATCCCTCTAAAATGTTTGGGCTCCAACTTCCCATCAATAATTCTCTGTGCAAAGTACAAATCAAATTGTTTAAAAGTTTTCATGTGGCAATTGACAAAATGTAAAGCTGTGCTCCCTTAGTTGTAGTGACTCCTTTAAAAATCAGCTTATTAAAAAAAATCTATTTTAGAACTATTTGATAGGGGAGCATGATGCCAGCATGTTTTTCCTTACATGGTTCTGTTCCAAAGATTTAGCATGCATTAGTCCAATCCAAAATTATTATTTCTACTTTCAGTGTGAGGGTTCTGTATACTGTTTTATGAACATTCTGCTTAGAGTTTATTAAATAAAGAATATTATTTTAGATTAGATGGAATTTTTGAACTCCAAGAGATCGTGTGGCATAATATGTAATATTTTATAAGTCTAGTGTATCTTCTAGGTTGGCACTCAAATTTTGGTTTTGGTTTCTTTTTTGATGTGTTCAGATTAGTATCCAAAAAGTTCAGATGTCCTTTTAATATATGTAAAGGTATATTAAAGAAGTGTTTGACTTCTTCAGTGAAAAATCCTCTGACAACAGTTTATCTAAAAAGTTAAATTCACTTCCTTATCATTTGATATTTAGCAAAAATAACTTCATAAATTAATATGCAATTTCATATTGCAGAGTTAATTTATGGCAGTTCTTTACAGCCTTCCATTCATTAAAAATGGCAGCTTTTTATAAGTGATTATAAGATCATATCATAGATTTAAGAAACTGATAGTTGATATTAATTAAAAAAGAACCTGGTAGCATTATAAATCATTATAAAGTAGGAGCATTTGGAAGGGGCAAGCAGAGCCCCTGCAGCAAGTGCTCTGGGTTAGCAGGGCTGTGCCGCTAGCATGGCTCGTCTTACAGGAGCCTTGGTGCGTTGAAATCTAGTTGTCCCTTCTCCTGAGCTTGCAGCACCTTCTGGGTAAAAGAAAGAACATGAGAATAAAGGAATTCCTTTTTTTTCCCTCCAAAGTAAAATATATATACATATTTATTGTGTACAATTACCCATGTTAATATGTTATATATAAATGTGTATATATACATTTATACACATATATGTATATGTTATGTACATATATGTATATATATATATGTGTGTGTGTATGTATATGATCTTTATTACTACTATTTGGTATAATTATTTTAATGTTATATTTCTCTCATGAACCATATCCCACTGGACCTTTGGCATTTCCTTAGTCATCTGAAGACTAGTATGAATGTTTTGAACTTTTTCAGATTGGGAGTGTAGTTGGTGATTTGCTACCTCCAGTAAATGCTTGCATTTACAAGGTCACAGGAAATTGCTAGCCATACTAATTCTGATATTTTCTTTTGTTTTTCTATCCCTGGCTAGTAACTATAGTGAGAAGCTATTACTCAACAAAAACTCTTTTTATTATTCACTAGAGATTTTTAAAAATGTATTTATCAAGTACCATTCGGGCGACTATTCAGTGTTTGATTTAAATCCCAGGTTCTATTTCTGTTTAATAAATTTTGTCTTCTCACTCTAATTCAAATGGGAGGTATGCTTGCCTTATAATGTAGTAAGTGCCAAGTATAAATAAGTAATTTTGAAAAGGAGACACTTTAAGAACACATTAAGGTCATTAGTATTTACTAGATATTTATAAATGTTGAATTAAAAAAGTATAATCTTATAATACAGTTTCATTAACTTGGGCTGTTCTTTAGTCCTTTAATTTACCTTACCCCTAATTAAGACAGTTAACCATGATTTCATAGTTTAAAAGAGTATAAGGATTTCAAAGATGAAACCATTATGTATGGATATAGAATGTGTGGTAGCAGGAACATTAGTCATAATCTTGCTAGACTTGTGTGTTTATTTATGCTTTGGAAATACTTCCTGTTGCTATTCATCTCCTTCTTATCTGCTGGTACTACAGAGAGCATGTAAATGCCATCCGTTATTTCTAAGACATTGAGGAAACCAGCCATGACATACCAGGGAAGCTTTGATTCACCACCTGTTGCTCTCGGGGAATGGTTGGAAACTTAATGAGCATCCACATGCCTTCCACAGCTCTCAGGAAATGAGCAAAGTACCTAAATACAGACAGCAGACTCATCCATCTATCACCTCAGGGTCCCACTCAGAGGAAAGTGCTAACACCATAGGCATACAGTGTAAAAGTCACTAAGAGCAGGCGTAACTTAATTTCCAACTTCTCTTAAGCTTCCTGCACAAGTATTTGAAAGTCCTCTTACCATGTGGAAGACATTTGGAATTCCTATTCCATGCATTCATGGTTCATATAGTGTCAAGATGTTCAGCTGGGAAAATTAAATTATGTACAATGTACCATGCACACATCTATCTTCTGGAATAAGACTTGAGCTCAGAAAATTAGTTGTATGAAAAAGTCTTCAAATATTTTAAAGGGTAAAATTTATTATCACTACTTTTCAAATATCAAAGGATAAGATTCTAAATACCAAAGTCTTTGTTTCATTCCCTACACTTATTTTTTTAATGTAAATACATGGCTCACCCCTTATGGTTACATTTCCCCAGTAATTAAGTAGCATAGACCAGCAACTTCAGAACAAGCAACCAGTGTGCAGATCCTGGTTCTCCCCCTTACCAGTGTATGATCTGGGAAAAGTTCTGTAATCTCTCTAAGCTTCACTTTCCTTTTAAGATGCAAATCATCATTGATCACAATACAGAAAACTGTGAGAATTAAATGAATTAATATATGTACAGCTCTGAAAGTATCACCAAGCACATAGTGAATGCAATATAAATGTTGGCTATTGTTATTTTTCTTGGGGAAATGGGGAACAATGACTATGTATCTATCTGTTCTATATGATCTTTTGTCATGTGAATAATATTAACCTATAGAATATACAGCCATTTATATTCTATGCTAGTAGATGTAAACTTAAAACTCCTTTGCAGTGATAGGTTAACATGACCTTCGGAGCAGTAAGACATGCACTTTCTACTGACACATGATGTCATACCACTCCCCTTTCTTATTAGTGAAGTGTATTCTAGGAATAAGGAACGAAAGGGCACAGGACTCGAGGGATAAGACATGACACTATCAAAGTTCCCTCCTGACACTGTTCACAGGTAGAGCAAATGTAACTTGACACATACTGTAATGATGAAAATACTTCAGTGATGCTCAACCCAAGGTATGATTCACAAATATTGATTTTCGATGCTTACTTTTTTCCTTTCAGCATATACTACCAGTTTATCTCACCCAGGAAGTCAATTAGGGGGGAAAATATACATATGGCAAGGGAGATATAATACATTTTAAAAAATGACATCAAATCAGAAAAACAAATCATTTAGTGGCAATGAAATTTTTACAGTGTATCAGCCCTCTAAGCTTGATGGTTTTACTCTGGCTTCCACATCAGTGACAATTTGACATTTAGATCAAGACCTTGAGGACTAGGGGGGCGGTCTGCGACAGTCACTAACTCTTTATACCATGTTATATGAAATCAACTTTGACGTGAAAGCATATGAAATCTAACTTTGACAGGTGGCAGAAACATTCACTTTGGCATTCTTAAGTATAGTGCTCAGTAATCTAAACAGAAATGTATTTTCTAAATCCACTGAAGGCAAGGATCCTTCCTTTAAAACATTAAAAAAATAGCAGAGGAAAATTTTGGAAGTTCTATAGGATATGGAGTGAATTCCTAGAAGAGAAAAAAAAAGAAAAAGAATACTAGTTAAAAGAATAACATTGAGTTATTGCTACTTACAATTACTTTCTGCTTGCACAAAGTTCATCTGAGAAGTTGAGTAATTTAGAGTCCAATTAGGAAACTCATACAACCAGAAATCAGAGATTTTTAGCAGCCATAATGAAACCTCCAGTAAACACTCTGAATGTGTTTTCATGATGTAATCCTGTTTTAAGAAAAAAAAAAGTTATATTTTCTGGATTTTAAATAAATATGCTATTATAGTTCGTTTCTGACAGAGCCACCAGGATGTTTTAATTTATACTCAAATTTGATCCTTAAGGGAAATAAGTATTTTAAGGACAGATTCTACTTCCTCCTTCTTTTTTTCTCAATAATTTTATAAATCAATCATTACCCAAACTGGATGCCTAGAGGTTCTTATTACAACAAATGTTATTGCTGTAATCCTCACAAGCAGGTATCATGCTGACTTGAATTCTAATTAGCTTTTAAGCAAGAAGACTATTGTTTGGTTAATGCATTCAGTGTCAAGACACATTAATCAAAATTATTGGCGATGCTTTTAGCACCCAGGCAACTCAGTACATATATGTCAAGCCCCATTGGACTATTTTTTGGGCAATGAAAATAAAGTTGGATCTGCCTGGGAATAATAGATATCATGGAAAATATGACTTGATTTAAGCTGGTATATTAGAGAGTTTTTTAGACAGGCTAAAAATTAATATTTTTTGCTCCTCTAATTGATAATGACTTACAAAAATAAAACAAATGGTAATAAATGAAAAACCAGAGATTTTTCTTGGGGCAAGAGCTAATCAGTTAGGACTTTCTGGCCACCATTCTGTTTAAC